ATTTATTATATAATACTATTGATAATGAACGTAGTGTTATATTTATTATCTATATTATTACACGCATTACCTATAAATAATGTAAAAAGCTTAAATGCGTACGAGACTCGAGTAATAAAACATATTCTGCGCCTATGAAAAAATATTGATCGATTCTCGATCTAAGAAATCACCAAAATATAATAATTCCCCATAGATCGATTTCGCGATGAAATGTTTTCTTTCGAAAGTATGAATGATTGTGTTAAATCGAAATCGTGTAAAAGAGGATTGGGTGTACACTTGAAAATAATGGAAGCTCGACAAGATCTTGGAATTTAAAAAATGTTCATCATTCGACCCTAATATTGAAAGTTTGAGAATCTGTGCAAGAAAAGTGGAAACTTTGGAAAGAGAATAATTTGAGTGCTACTTATGTACATAATTCTAGTAAATAGTTACAAGTCGATACAGCGAGCGCTCCGCGGGACGCTCGCGTCTCTGCGGAGTCGTTGATCAACTCGGGAAGGTCAGAGCATGTAATTAGTCATGGTTGGCTGCGTCCCACGGCCGACGCGACCAGAAGAGTGAGCGGCATTATGGAGCACAACTAAAGCCGAATTTACACTTTCATGGTGATATTTCGATGAACAGGTGTAGACGCTGTGTATAATATTTTTTATTGACAGAGCAATAACAAATCTAGTTTTCTGTTGTCACGTCTGTTAACTTCGGCTCCTTGCACTCGTATGTCACGCTAGAGATGATAATACAGATTTGTTGTAGAACGTTGGAAATTGTTTGAAAGTGTATCACATTTTGAAAGATTATAAAAATTCAATCCTATTATCATAATAATAAATAAAATAAATATAAAACGCTGAACTCTATCGCTGTAGATTACTTTTACACGTCAAGCGCCATGCCAGTCACTGACGTTTCTGAATGACTATAAAACAATCGTAACATACAAGATAACCGATGGGAAATGGAAATGTTTAATAACGTAACTAAGTTGATAACAGTGTAATGCAAACATTGTAACGCTGAATAATTAATAATTGTTCCTGCGTTTCTTTGCTACAAAAGAACAACTCTACAGGAAAACACTTGAGATTTTCATGGTGCTTATCGTGTTAATTCGTTTCCCTAAAAACAAATACAAGTTTACAAGATTAAATTTTTTAAATTCTACGACTAACAACTATCTTTACTTTCTACGTTATTGCTATTATCATTGCATTAAATTTCTCTGCGTCCCTCCCGCAAATAATATCGTTATTGATAACGAAACAATTCGGATGATCATGGCCTCGAAGAAAATCGTGAAAGCAATAAAGAAATCAATGAATAACGGGACACCGCAGTTCGCTCGATTGTTCCATCGATCGGTGATATATATATTCCACAAGAGGGTTGAAAACCGAACATCATCCCAATAAAATTCACAGTTCCGACCGGTTTTCCCCTCTCCGAATGACTTCTACTTATTTCGAGAAGCTCTCAAGCGTGCCCGGCAACGAGATGTATATTTATTGGCAACGTAAAACAAACATTCAAAGAGGGATGCACTCGAATATCTGTGCCGCTCCTTTTATTCCCATCTAAATCGATCGCGTCGCATCGCGTCGCATTCCGGATGCACCCTCTCTCGCTTCACCCTTTCTCAGTGTTATATACCACGACCCGGCCGACTTTTATTCGGAAATTCGATATCAGCCACCGCGAATTTAATGCCGGCGGAACACGCGTTCGAAGTTTTCTTCCTTTTTTTTCATATTTCCTTTTGTTCCCTCCCATTAAACGCTTCGGGGCTATCAATTAGCTCGCCGATTTATGATTCGCTTCGCAGCTATTACGTCGACGTTGTTGTATTGTTAATAATATACCGGCCAGCGGTTCGATCACTTTCGCTGTTTCACTGTAAACGTTTATTTTATGCGTTCAGGGGTTGAAGCTGAATTTTGGAGAAATCGCGGAGTTCTTTTATTTCTTTTTGGAAACTATTGTCGTAATTTGCTAATGGGTACAGTAAAGTTTGGACGAATCGGGAAAGTTTTCCTTCTGTTCGCGAATTGAGGTTTTATTGATTAGCAAAATTTTTAAAGTTTGGGCAACATTTTTTTCGCGTAAAATTCGTGATCGAAACTTTTTAACGGAGTGAAGTTTTGAAAAATTGAGAGTTCCTTTTTGTTTATGGATGATAGTCGCAGTTTACTAATGGGTACAGTGAAAATTGAATAAATTGGGAAACTTCTTTCTGCTTTTGTTTAATTATTATTGCGATTGGAAAATTCCTCTTTCTGCTTAGGAACTGTAATTGCAGCTTAACAAGTTCGTGCTTTAATAATTTTTTTTAACTGAAGCAGAAACGAACAAGAATGTACTCATTGTTTGTTAACTTTTAATACGTTAAAAAAGGAATTAAAATGTTTGTTGTTTTGTCACATTTTTGCGTGCACGTGAGTTTTAATGCGAATGTTCGTTGGTAATCCGGCCCTCCTCAAAAATTTCGAAATTCGTTAGTGACTTTTACCTTCAAAGGTTGGGATATAGTAAAATTAAAAACAAAAATTAGAAAATTTGTTATGCTTGAACCTTAATTTGAATCGTTTTAAATGAAATGCATAAAGGTCCTAGTTTTTAATGCGTGGCAGCTCTCAAAATACAGAGCTGAAAGCAAATACATGTACCCCGCACTCGGAATTATGTTCTTCAACTTTTAAAAACGTTTTTCTCAGAGTCGCATTTATTTCGGAATATTGCGCAAGATTGCTCGAGCGTTATTTATTCAATATATAATATTTCATCTATCTACTTCAATATAGTTTGTTCAATATCGCAATTATACTTATTACAATGATATTTCAATATGGTTAATCGATTTTTTAAAAATGAATAATTTTATTAAATCTTGAAACTTCTGTTATTATTATTATTATTCTTGTTATTATCATTATCATTGTTATTTTATTTTTACTATACTATTGTTGTTATTATTATTATTTTTAAATAAAGTCAAGAAACAAGATTATCATCAAACTGTAATACAATTTATTATCTATTTTGAATGTTTGTTTGCGTTTCCACTTTGTATATTACAGTCAAACAACTACAAAACCTTGGATCAATTGGATCTTTATCTTTTTCTTTATAGTTCTCATGTAAAGATAGCTTATATTTTTCGTCTATCATCGTGCCCTAATTTTTTCAATATTCATAAGCGCGAAACAACGTTTTCTATCAAATTATACGAATATGAAGATAATTATTTAAAAATTTGCTTGTTTGTCGACAGCTATGGACGAATCCATTTTGCAAGCAGAATATATTTATCTATCATATTCAACGTAAAGAATTTATAATGTGTTTATAATATAGCACATATAATATAGAATAATAATATAAAATTCAATAAAAATTCAATTTCTTTGGAAATTTTGTACGGAATTCGTATACATGCTTAATATTCGGTGTACGAATGATCGATTGAACGAATATCAATGCCTATCATTTAACTGGTGATTGTAAAGACCCGTGAGAGAACACATACCCGTGTGTATCAAATTGGCTGGACAGTACTGGAGTTACGGTCATTAATTCGATGACGATTTAATGGTTAATTATTACAACGTATTATAATAATAAACTGTTGCTATCAACACCTACCGGACAGCATCACGAAACATTAATTTCTGAATCGGAATCATCTGAAGAGATCATTACCGATGCGATGATTATAGTCTCGAATAAATAATCCGATAGGAACGCGCGTGAAATTTTAATTACATTCATTACAGGCTGAACCACTTCAGTTCGTCATCTCCTTACATTTTGTCTCCAATAAGTATTCGTAAATAAGACATTACCTGATTACCACATCGAACATCATGGATTCGATGTTTACCCTTCCGGATGCCAACACGGTGAACCTTTTTATTATTCATAAATTTCTGTTCCATACGGACTCAAAAATGTATCAATCAAAAATAAATTACTGAAATGTCGAATTCCATAAATAACAGAAATCCAAACAAGTACAATTTCATTCATTTCAATAACAAACGTAAATTAATAAAAACCATAATTAAATCAACGACTAATTAAAATCACACAAAATTAATCAGAATACCTTTCCAAATTCCTTCGTCGGAACGCTAACAGGATTAGAGTTTAATATACCAAGCCCACAGCTTCCATGATTCAAGAAACCCCCAATCGCCGAAAACATCTAATCACCTTCGAACGATCAGTAACGGCTCATTACCAAATCATACGAATTAATTATACCGTAGTCGAACTTCTACTGCCCGACAGTTTCGGTGTCTGACTCAATGTCGGGAGACGTGTGAAGTAGGTTTCTCAGGGGTCGTGGGTCAGTGGTCGGGTATGTAGGAGGA